TTTCTTCTCGAATCAGAGTATCACCGACGAGCAAGAGCTCTGGCCGTCTCTCCACCACTAGATCATCATCGAGTTCGAGTTAGGTAGTGAAAGACGTGTTCGGTTCAAGTCTCTTAATCGGACTGGGATGCGATTCCAGAGGAGATGTTCGAGTTTCGAGTCAACAGCGAAGTCAAGTGGTCGAAATCGGCGTCATGGGAGCAGCAATGGGTAGTTGAAGGTTTGAATTTGTTTATTGATCCGTTAATTGATGTGATTTAGCTTTTTAGAAATTAGGGTTTGTGATTTTGTAAAATTAGGGTTTGTAGATTTGAGGAAACCGGGTTATTCGTTTCTAGTGTGTATAAATAGGGTAATTAGAAGGTTGTATGAGTGTGTGGGATGTTAGTAAGGCATGATTGTTACCAAATTGAAACCCGATTGTTGAATATGTTTTGTGGATTTGGGGAAAAATTGTTATTCATTGCTAGGGTCTTTAATTATGTGAATTAGATGCATCCATTGAGTGTGTGAAGGTTTGTACGGCATGATTGTTACAGAATTTTATTCCCAATTGTTGGTATTTGCATTTTATCTTTTGTTTGGTTGATTAATACCCTTTTGGATCATAATTTGTGTCATGAATTTGTTTAGTTTTGTTGGTATTGGCATTTTAGATAGGTTTGTCTGAGATGTATCTTTCTTTATGTTTACTGATCCGTTTTTTCTCTTCTATTTTACATATACATTGTGTCTGGTGAGAGGACTGGATCAACTGATATTCTACAAATGGCATTCGAGAGAAGGCAGAGGAGGAGTACTCATGTTAGTGGAGTATTTGCTGAAGACAAAATAGGTGAGAATTTTTATTATCTCTGTATTTCTTTGTGTGTTTATGCTTGTATAGAACTAGGATTTGAATGAAACTGGTTATAGAACTAGGATTTAAATGAATCTGGTTATATGCTAACTCGTTAATAAATGATGGAAACTCAGTTTGATGTGTAATAGATGTTTACTTTTTCTTTTTCATTTAATGCATCTAGGTAGAAAACCGTCTCTTCTCTCCTTTGATAGTGTATGTGTTTACGTTTTAGTGGATAGTACATATGTATTGTTTGCCAACTTGTGTGATAGTAAATGATGATTAGAAATGCTAGTTTGCTTTTCATTCAATTTTCACCACAACTGTGAACATTAAATCTTAAACCTATCTCTATTTTGATAAGCCGAATCTCTTTCACTCTCATTCACTTTCATTATCTTTTCATTCACATAGAGGAATATAAGTCGATTCTCTTTCACAAGCTTTCACTTTCATTCTCTTGCTGCTCTCTTTTCATTATCTTCCTTTTCACTTTCATTCTCTTTCTGCTCTCTTTTCATTATCTTCCTTTTCACTTTTCATTCTCTTGCTTCTCTCTTTTCATTCTCTTGCTGCTCTCTTTTCATTCTCTTCACTCCAATGAATCCATATGGTAACTCATATAACTTCATGGAGCTTTTAAGCAGTCAACCCAATAGTTATCAGTCAGCATCACCAAGTATTAGACTTGGTGATTCTGAGATTCCTCTCTTTAGCTCCCAATGTTCTGAAGCTACTCCTCAAGGTGAAGGCACCCCCACTGCTAACCGGACAGGAAGAACAAAGAACACATGGACCTCCAAGGAAGATTTGGTGTTGATATCTGCGTGACTAAACACATCAAAAGATACCATTGTAGGCAATGAGCAAAGAGCAGACGTCTTTTGGAAAAGGATTGCAGCATATTTTGCTGCAAGTCCAAATGTCCCTTCTCGGATTAAGAGAGAACCAAGCCATTGTAAACAAACATGGGCAAAGATCAATGAGATAGTTTGTAAGTTTGTGGGACTTATCAAGCATCAACAAATCATATGGCTAGTGGGATGAATGATGATGATCTTGTTAAGCTAACACATGTGATTTTTGAGACTGATCAGAAGAAGAAGTTCACCTTAGATCATGCATGGAGAGCCTTAAGGAAGGAACATAAGTGGTATTCATTACAGTCTAACAAAGAGACTGAGAAGAGCAAAAGGAGGAAGGTTGACTCGGATTCACACACCCAAGGAGAGTGTCAATCTTCACAAGATCAAGGAGAGTCTCAAGCTTCACAAGTTTGTCCACCTGGTGTGAAGGCTGCTAAGGGACAAAGCAAAAGGACAGCCACTAGTATTCCCAATCTGGAAACTGGTGTAGAGCGAATGCAAAGGATTCAGACATTGTGGGAGCTTAAGGAAAAAGACTTTGTTTTGAAGCAACAAGAGCATGTGTTGAATGATAAATTGACAAACAAGAAACTTCTTGACTCTCTTCTTGCTAAAGCTGGTCCTCTATCTGAGATTGAAGAGGAACTTATAACGAAACTAATTCGAGAGGAGGATGTTGATGAAACTATGGAAGACATTGAGCCTAGGAGGGTTGTTGCACCGAGGAACTCTATGCCATGTTAAGATCTTGCCGAAGTGCTTCAAATTCTCTCTTCATTATTTTCTCCATCCGTGTTGAGAATTTCTTAAGCAAACGTTTGTTGTTGCGATTGGGGATTCTTTCTTCTTCCTTGGTGTCAACCATTTTTCCTGAAACAAATCAACACACAAGTCACCAGTAACAAGTTCTTTTTGAAATAAAAAGATTGGACAAAACAAACACAAAATAACCCTTCAAATGACACCAAACTTTCCTGAAACCCTATTTACGACAGTATCAATTGATTGGGACAAATAAATTATCAAACAATGTTGAAAAATTCCGGAAATAATTTTTTTATAAAACTAGACTCGTCCTAAATTCATATGCAATTTATTTCCCAATTTTCTAACAAGCCAATAATTTATGAAAATTAAAACAATATGACTAGGCGACAAAAAAGATGAACAGACAATGATGAACAAACATGAAATGGTTAAAGTACTCAACTTCAGAGCGTGCTCTGATACCACCTGATGAGAATCTCCCTAGTATTCGACACTCTTAAGTTGAGCAAGGATAGATTTGGCTGGAAAGCCGTAGAGCGGAATAGAAGTTGAATGGTCTATGGATATCACAAGGAGCTTGCAGAATAGCTTCATGATACCAAACCTAGATCCTTTAGATATACGCACCAAAGAAGGTAAGGGTTTTGCTGTATATACACATGATCGATGGATATACACACTAACGAAAAGATCTCATCAGAGAATGCTCAAGAAGAGGTTCCAGCGACAACTCTGGCCATTCCATAACGATGTTTTTGTAGGATGGTGGAGAACATGTTTTCAGTGGTGGGATGATGCGGTCAGTGAAGAGGTAGTAAGGTTGGCCCACAAAGTTTGAGAAGAAAAGATTCTATCATACATGCTTCTCGATATGGTGGCGGTGGTTCTCCGTTGGTGGCTTCACTTAGTGATTCGTTGAACTTAGTTCGTGAAACAATGAACTTAATGCATGAACAAATTTATGATCTAAAAGACCGTGTAGCCCAGAAGGAAGAAGAGATAGGTCGGCTCAAAGATTTGTTTTGTGGTTGTTTGGTTTAAGAATCTATGTATCTCATATCTTATCTTATTTTTGTGTAAAACTACGAACAAGTTGTACCATAGTAACTAAGATGTAGTTGTACCATAATAACTAAGCCAAAGTCACTCCATGAACAAAGGCTTCCCAAAATTAACTATAGCATAGTTGTTCCATATTAACAAGTTTTACCAAATTAACTATACCAAAGTTATACTAAACAACCAGTTGTACCATAATAATTAACCCGTAGTTGTACCATAATTACCAGTTTTATCATAACTAAACGGTAGTTTTACCGAAAAAACTAAGTAGTAGTTGTAAAATAATAACCAGTTGTACCATAATAACTAAGCTATATAAAAAAAACTAAGCCGTAGTTGTACCATAATAACCAGTTGTACCTTAATGACTAAGCCGTAGTTTACCATAATTATCAGTTGTATCATAACTAAGCCGTAGTTTTATCAAAAAAACTAAGCCGTAGTTGTACCTTAATAACTAAGCTATATCAAAAAAACTAAGCTGTAGTTGTACCATAACAACCAATTGTACCATAACAACCAGTTGTACCTTAATAACTTTGTTCGTAGTTGTACTATAGTTGTACCATAACAAATTGTAACAAATTAACTTCTACCATAATAACTACGCCATATTCATACCAAAAAAAAACAAGTCTTCCCAAACTAAATTAGAAAATCGTTGTACCAAAAAACTAAGTTGTACCACAAGTAAAACAACAATACTAAGTATAGAGAAGCAACAATTTGAATTTTATTCGGCTTTTTTGTTGTTTTGCTTTTAATAATGGTTCACTTTTGCGGTAAGCAACCATTAAGAACTACTACTGAACATGATATTAGAGTGTTCTCTTTTATTTGATTTTGTCAATATACAGTTGTGCTTGTAAACTAATATGTTGCAATTAAATCACTGGTTTGAAAAACAAAATTTCTTTAACCTACTTTCTCGATATCACTCTAAGGTAGTAGTGTTAAAGTTTAAACCTTCAAAAGCTATTTTTTTTCTTTTTTGTTGGAATGAGTAGAAGATTACCATGGATTCTTTGAATGAGCAGAAAAAATACAACCGAAAAAAAGAAGAAACGATTGATTAGCATTGATTTACAAGATCAACCGATTGATTACTTGTGTTTCTCCTCAAATCGCATTTCTCTCGCCATCGACAGAGAGGAAAAGAAATTGTCGAACATCAAAATAAATAAAACGATGAAAAAAAAAGATATATTTGTATCTATTAATCTTCCAATCACAAATACCAACATCGTGTAACACCCGTGTTCGAAAATGGGTGGTGTCAATCGACATCAAGGAAGGGTGTCACTCGACACCAACAATTTCGGTTTGATCGGTGTGTTTAATTGCGATTTTTGATTGGGGTTGGTTTGGATTTAACCCGAAGTTGTGCTTTAAATGAGAAAAGGTTGTGCTTGTTCTCATTCAGTCGCTTCTAGAAGTTTGAGAAAAGAACATTGAAGTGTGAAGTGTTCTCAAGTGAGTTTTTTGTGAGTTTTGAGAGAGGTTTGAGGCTTGTTCTTGGTGATTCTAGTCTAGATAGGAGAGATCTCGTAGCTTTGGTGTAAGGAAGGTTTTTTTTTATGTTGTTGTGTTTTTTTTGTCCCTGTTCAGTCCTTTTTCAAAGGTGAGTGCAGACCAAGGCTTATCTAAGCATTTGATTCATGTTTTTGTGTGATTTCCTTGATTGTTTCATGATTTAAAATTTTTTATTGCTTTGTTTTTGTGTTAAGGTGCATTTTGACGAGTCTTGTGGTGTCTTGAATCGGCCCTACTGTGTAAAGAAGTGAGGATCCGTCGATGAGAAGCTACTGGAGTGTTGTTAGGGTTTTGGTGTCGACCGACACCAGTGATGATTGTCGATCGACACCAATATTTTGTATCGCAAGGATAGTCGCGAGTGTCGATAGGTGCGGATGTTTTCTTTAGTCCCTGTTCAGTCTTTTTCAAAGATGAGTGCAGACCAAGGCTTATCTAAGCATTTGATTCATGTTTTTGGGTGATTTCATTGATTTTTCATGATTTACGTTGTTTTTATGCTTTGTTTATGTGTTGTGGTGCATCTTGACGAGTCTTATGGTGTCTTGAATCGGCCCTAGTGTGCAAAGGAGTGAGGATCTGTCGATGAGAAGCGACTGGAGTGATAGATGCAGATGTTTTGTGTTGCGAGTGTTGATAGGTGCGGAAGTTTTCTTTGGTATTTGGTTAAATGTTTTGATATTACTTGGTTATTGCTGATTAGTGAATCATGTTGTTTGTGTGTATAGCCCAGTAGTTGGGATGATGCCTGGCTAAGTATTTATGAAATACTTATGCATCTCTTTTCGTGATGCAGGTAAAGGAAAGGTGTGACTGTGGGATAACAACGAGGAGAGAAGAATGATCTAGGGGCTCGCTGGTTGCATTGTAACTTTTCTGTTATTGCATTGTTAGGTTGTTAGTCTGGAAGTTAGAAACATGCTAGGGTACTTTTCTATTTGTGGATGATGACTGTTTTGGATAATGGACTGCCTGATGGTTTAATGCAAATGTTTTATTTGAATTATTGGTTTAGTTTCCGCTAGTTGATGTTATGTGGTTTGGATGCATTGGAAATTGTTGGTTAATCGGTTTAATTGGAATTTAATGGTTTAAATTGATTAGGACCGGTTTAGATGGTTTTAAATTGGTTTATTTTGGTTTAGCTGGTTTAGCTGGGTTAAGGTTAATCCGGTTTGCAAGCCTTAAAAAAAAACAGGCTGAAAATTTCGTTGATGTGAATTGCATGCCTGATTGATTTTATATGTTTAACAATTGTGTGGGTATGGAGACCTAGATCATTCTCTCGAGCCTTCAATGAGATTCCACGATAAGTTGTATGTTATGTGGTTTTTGCTTGCTCTTGTGTTCTTAGCCTTCTGTTGTGGTGCAGATGGTTAGAGGTTGAGTTGTCGGTTGTGGTTCTGGTCGTGGTCGTGGGCGAGGTCGCGGTGGGAGGCGTTGTGCTGCCTTGGGTAGCGACACGAGTGTGGACGGGAGTGCTACGGCCGAGCATGTCAGTGATTCTCAGTCGTATCAAGAGGCATCCTTGGGTGATGCTAGTGTGAGTGTCGTTGGAGCCGACTTGCCAAGAGACGGTACTGGTGTGGCTAGGAACCTAGTTGGGGGTGTTCCAACAGGTGGGGTCCATGGTTAGAATACTCGGATTGCGGATCTGCTGATACAGCTGTTAGAGTGGTTAACGGGAGCGTTATTGGCGCATGCTCCAGTTGGACCGCCAGAGTGGCGGGAGTGTAGCCTATTGGGCTAGGTGGGCCTGATGTGTATCCTGGTGTCGGGGTTGTGCAGCCACAGGGGGTAGGGGCGGTTGTCGAGCAGTCGTACTACATGCAGATGATGGAGCAGCTGCAGCAGTTCGGAATGTCTGTGTTGTTCCGAGGTTCCGATCCGGCTGTAGCGGATGAGCGGTAGGTGAGACTGGAACGGTACTTCCAGTCGATGAGGTGCCCGGAGGCGTACCAGGTGGACCTAGCGACTCACTACTTGGCTGGTGATGCACACTTGTGGTGGAGGAGTGTGCTCTGCCAAGAGGGAGCAGAGGTTGATGGCGTGGGGGGATTTCTTGACATATTTTAATGCCAAGTATTTCACGGCGAAGGCACTGGACCAGATGGAGTCGCTGTTCTGGCGTTGACTCAGGGTGAGCGGTTGGTGTGGGAGTATGACTCGGAGTTTAGCCGACTTTTGGTGTATTCGGGTCGTGCGGGAGATCCGGAGCAGATACATGTGCGTCGTGTCATGAAGGGTCTCAGTCACGACATGAGGGTGTAGTGAAAGGTGCGAACCTATGCGTCGCGGGTGGAGTAGGTTGAGGTGGCAGCGGTTATTGAGGATTAGTTGAGGAGTCACGGGATGATTCCTAATCCGTCGATGCAGCTGAAGAAGGCCCAGCCGTAGTCGGGTTCGAGTAGGGGCGACAAGCCTGCTTAGGGACAAAAGAGGAAGTGGGATGACGTTTCCAGGACCAGTCAGGGTGGTCGGGGATGGTTCGGGTGCGGGAGCATAGATCACAAGCTGGCGAGCAGTCCGAAGAAGAGCGAGCCAAGGGTGGAGAATCGTGTTTGTTTCCACTGCAAGTAGGCGGGACACATCAAGGCGAGGTGTCCTAAGGCTCAGCAGAAGGCGGTAGCAGCTGTTCAGCCGGTGGTACAAAAAAATTATTTGTATTTACTCATTTTCCAATCACAAATAACCAAAAGATGTGTTTTAATCGGTTTTTCCGTGGCCAAGAGAAACAAAAATTTTCACTTTACTGGTCCCTTTTAAAGTTTTGCTTTTAATACTGGCCCACTTTTGCGGTAAGCAACCCATTAAGAATCATTATTGGACATGCTCCTAGAGTGTTTTCTTTTATTTGATGTTTTCAATATACTATTGCGCTTGTAAACTAATATGTTGCAATAAAATCACATGTTTGAAAAGCTAATTTTTTCGATCTTACTCCAAGGTGGTAGTTTTAAAGTTTAAACCTTCAAAAACTGTTTGTTGCTTTGTTGTTGGAAGGTGTAGAATAATTATGGATTTTTCAAATGAGCAGAAACGATACAACCGAAAAGAGGAAGAAACGATTGATTACCATTGATTTCTAAGATCAATCGATTGATTACTTGTGATTCTCCTCAAATCGCTTTTCTTTTGCCATCAAAAGAGATGAAAAGAAATGGTCGGACAGCAAAGAAATAAAATGAGGAAAAAAGAAAAAAAAATATTTGTATTTAATCATCTTCCAATCACTAATAGCCACATTGCATGTCCTAATCGGTTCTTTCGTGGCCAAGAGAAGCAACGATTTTCACTTTACTGGACTTTTTTTTTTAGTTTTGCGTTAAATACTGCCCCACTTTTCCGGTAAGCAACCCATTAAGAAATAATACTGGACATGCTCTTAGAGTGTTCTCTTTTATTTGATGTTTTCAATATATGATTGCGTTTGTAAACTAATATGTTGCAACAAAATAGGAGGTTTAAAACTAAGTTTTTTTACCTTAATTTCTCGATCTTACTCTAAAGTGGTAGTTTTAAAGTTTAAACCTTGAAAAATTGTTTGCTACTTCGTTGTTGGAAGGTGTAGAAGATTACCATGGATTATTCGAACGAGGAGAAACGATACAACCAAAAAATAAGAAGTAACGATTGATTATCATGGATTTACAAGATCAATCGATTGATTACTTGTGATTCTCGTCAAATCGCATTTCTCTCACCATTGAGAGAGAGGAAAAGAATTGTCGGACAGAAAAAAGAAATAAAATGAGGAAAAAAATATTATCTTAAGTTACTCATCTTGCAATCACAAATAGCCACATCGCGTGTCTTAATTGGTTCTTCTATGACCAAGAGAAGCAACGATTTTCACTTTACTGGGTCCTTTTCTAGTTTTGCTTTTAATACTGGCTCACTTTTGTGGTAAGCAACCCATTAAGAACTACTATTGGATATGCTCTTAGAGTGTTTTCTTTATTTGATGTTTTTAATATACGATTGCGCTTGTAATTTCTTTTATCTTAATTTTTTTATTTCATTCTAAAGTGGTAGTTTTAAAGTTTAAACTTTCAAAACTGTTTGTTGCTTCGCTGTCGGAAAGTATAAAAGATTGCATCGATTCATATGTGATTCCGAAAGAGAAAGGTGTAAAGTAAGACACCAAAATACGTTTGGTAAACATAGGGGAAGCTATGGAACGTTACAAAAAAAAAATTAAAAAATTTAACCAAAGCCATGTAAAATTTCTATACACTTGAACAATTTGAGAGACACAATGTAAGTAATGAACAAAAAAGATACAACATTAAGTACAGATAAAATCACACCCCTGTTTTTGTGACTGTCCTAACTCCTACATGACCAGAAATAGCAAGCAATGGCAATCCTAGAGAGTTCTTACACTGGTGTGCACTCAATTTCCTCATACAAATCTCCTCCATATCTGATTCTTCGCGTCCATCAAGAGCACAAAAACGTTCAAGACTTGGGAAAAGCTTCAGTGTAAGGGTCAAAAAGACTCGAGACTATAGTCTTGCGGTATTCATGAGGTTGGAAGTTGGATGAAGTGCTCCAAGATTCTGAATGTTTCCGGTAGTTGAGATATTGGAAGACAAATGAAAGATGCATTCGCATTCAGGTAAAGGGTATGTGTAAATGGAAGTTTTCCGGGTGATCTTCCTGACCCTAGGTACCATCACTCCCTTTCTATCACTTTCCCCTAGCATCAAATTCATCTCTTTTTTGAAAACTTCCCACCTGTTCAAGATTCAGAGAAATATTGTCCAAACTCATATTCAAAAGTGTAACACGGCTCAATATAAGTCTCTCTTGTGTGCATGAAAGTTTTAGAAGATGTCAAATTCTGTGTTTCTTGGTTCTATCACGTCAATTTTATTAAAGTTCATCTCTTTCTAGTGTATATAATATACACACATTACTCTAGGATGAGGTTGAGCTGAGGAAAGGAAGACTTATTGTACCTCATGTCCATGTCCTGAAGAAGGAGAACGAGTTTGGGTTTGTCCGGTATCACAGTTTTTGCATGTCCACCGAAGAGGAATCTCCGATGGCCCATCAGAAAATGAGGAAAGTTTCCACCTTGAGTTGTCACAAACACTTCACTTAATAAGCTCACTGTGTAGTCCAAAGCAGCCATTCTAGAAGAATATCCCTAAATAATCAGAGCAATAAGAAAATATCAGACTTTCAGTGTTGCCCAACAGATTTGTTTAGATTGATGAGAGTCAAAATAAAAACCTCAAATGGGGCAAGTTCCTCTGGAGTTGCAAGAGACTCTTTTGTGTAGAGACGGGGAAACATTTCCTGAAGAGGAGCCAAATGTTTCTCAGGTTGATAGATTTTTCCGGAGGCCAAATATATTGAGGTGTTGTTATCAAATCCCATACCACGGAGCATCATACCAACCTACGAGCAATTGGAAACAAAGCTCAGTAAAATACTAAAGTAAATGTCACCAACATTTGACTGAAATGTAAACTTAGGTCCATGAATATACCTCTAACGGGGTAAGGGGACATTTTCCATTAACTCGGTTAAGGTCGGGCCTAATGACACGATCTCTTCGTTTGAACTTTCCTTTCCAACTTTTATGTCTAATTACATCCATTTCAGATTTCTCAGTTCTGCCACCTTCGTAGAGACAACATGAGAATGCCACCATGTCCTAAAAACCAAGGCTTTTTAATTATCTTGTTTCTCTAAACCATACTAATACTAAACTATTGAGACAAAATGATTCTAAATATCAAAGAAAGAATTACCTCCTCAAATCGAAGGTGAACTGAGATATACTTTCCTCCGGTGTCTGAGCTTTTCTCAACCATCCGATCGACTAACTTTTCAGCTAGTGTTGATATAGGTGAAGAAAACTTCAATGCATTGTAGTTAGCTATGCATCTCAAAAGTTGGATATATGGTGGAACACTCATCGCCAATCTATTTGCGAAAG